CACTCTTTGCTGGATGGTGTCTCATTGCTCAGAGTTACCCTTCATCCTAAAGGAATAAAAAGAAAAAAAAACCCCCAAGAGTACCACCCTAATAGCAATCTTGCCCCCACTCCTGGGACACTGAAATTACCATGCCTATATTGGAAAGGCTGTTGAAAAGTGACAGGGTAATAATAGCATTCTCAAGACAGTGCTCCCAAGTCTTGTCGAAATTGCTAGCTACTCTGGGTAATTAAAACAATGATCATTGTTTGTTTCCATGTAATGCTTTAGCACTAAATCCATGTGGTGTGCATGATGCACAACCAGATTCCAAATGGTAGCTGGAGTTTTCTTTTAAACCTGAAGTCGATAAAACATTTTGTATGTATCTAGCAATACGCGACACTCAGGACACAAGAGAGACCATTAGATGTCATGTAGTCTGGCCCCTTCATTTTATAAGTGAGGGGATCCAGTGCAAGGAAGAGACTCCCCCAAAGGCTTTCAGCAGGTTAAAAGCAGAGCTGGGGCAGGGGGCGCCTGGGTGTCTCAGTCTGTTAAGCATCTGCCTTCAGCTCAGGTCATGATCCCAGGGTCCTGGGATCGAACCCCGCATCGGGCTCCCTGCTCAGGGGGGAGCCTGCTTCTCCCTCTCCCTCTGCTGCTCCCCCTGCTTGTGCTCTCTCTCTCAAGTAAATAAATAAAATCTTTAAAAAGAATAATAAAAGCAGAGCCGGGACTGAGCCCATTTCAGTACACCAGGCTGTCCTTGAATATAGAGAAAACTGACGTCCAGGTATATGAAAGGCAAGAAAGGTAAACACCTAAAACTCGTTCCTTTGATACACCCTTCCCTTTCATTGTCACTCTGTTTTTTCCTATCTTTTCTCACCTTTTGACTGTACTGTTGACTTCTATTTCTTTGCTGCTTACAACTCCAATGTCTCTCCATTCCTGTCTCTTCCTTCCTAGAATTAGTTTTATTGCCTTTAGAAGGAGTGCTCAGTATGTTGCCCAGCGGGGCTCTGAGCTGGTTGGAAGCCACTCTGTTCTGACAGGTTGTGAATTTCACAGAAACTCTATAAAGAAGCCATTAAAGAATAATGCCTTTTAAAACATCTACTTAATAAGAGGCCATGAAACACAACGTATTAGGGTTACTGTGGAGAAGCTGTGTTGACTGAACAGAGAATCTTTTTAAAATATATCCAGAAAACTCTGCCAAACTAAATGGAGTCGGGGAGGCACATGTGAAGTTTGGGGATCCATGAGAACGTGTGTATCAGTGTATAAAATATACACCAACATGTTAAAATCTAGGCGATGGGATTTTATTTGCATTTTACTTTTTTCTTTTTGTTGCCAGAATTTTCTAATCTTTCCGTAATGAATGTATGTCCTATCACGTATTAAAGCTGGGTGTGAAAATTGAAAAATAATAATGAACTTCTAAGGGCTTCTAACTGATTAGCAAGACGCGAGGTCATGTGAGCTATCACTCAGGCTAATTTCCCTGTCACCAAGTGTCTCATTCCCACACCCTGTCAACACCCCCACGTTAGCCAGGTGTGCCGGCTTGTCGACACCTGCAGACTACACCAAGGGACCAGCTCTGCCCCGCAGCAAGGAACCTATAAGGGGCTCCTGACTCAGACCCAACTTGGCTTGTTGCCAAGCTCCACCCTTGAAGAAGTCACTAAGGACCTATTCTTTTGTTCCTCTTTCCCTACCTAGACATCTGTCTGAGTGCCTGACCCTTAGTCACCTGGTTTTTTACTTCTGCGCTTCTGGATCTCACAGTAGCAGCTGGCTAGGTTCCCCCAGGCTCTGCTCTCCTCTTGATTGATCTTCACCTGCGTCTCCCACACAGGTGAGATTTGCAGAGCATGTGGCTTAGCAGTAACGCTAAACTCCGGGGCCTGCTGGCAGCATTCTGCCCCTTTCCTCCTAGTCCACCCTGCGTAGAGCCAGCCAAGTCCTGAGTGCTGACTCACACAGGTGGGCCTTGGGTGACCTGGGCTCTAACACCCCAAAGCCTGGTGGTTACATATTCTTCTCAGTCTGGCTTAGTCTGGGGCTGATACCAGGTTCGCAGACCTCTGCCATCCTCCCTCCTCCAGGCTATTTCAATATGGCAGATCTATTGTCAGGATGTGCAGCGTAACTCAAAGCGGTTGTCTGGGATTCTCTTCCTGTACTCAGGGCCAAGCACAGCCAAGCCCAAAACAATTTGTATTCATGTGGATTTTTAAATACTGTACCTCGAAAATTCTAGCATTCAGGAAAGAAAGACAAAGCATGGTTTCACTTGCAAAATGCAGAATCGGAAGGGAGTAGTGGCGGAATTGTTACTTCCTAGCAATCTTCAGTGGGAAACAGGGGTCCCAAGAGATACTAACCTTTGGGTCTTAAAATTAGTTGCATACTCCCAGATCCCACACTCCCATATCTTGCTCCTAACTTCTTAGGTGCAATTATCTGTGCAGAAGGATCTGGCGAAGCTGACTCATTCATGTTTATAAATCAAAACCAAAAATATTCCTCCCTTCTTTTTTTTTTAATCATTTTTTTTAAGATTTTATTTATTTATTTGACAGAGAGAGAATGAGAGAGAGAGAGAGAGCACATGAGAGGGGGGAGGGTCAGAGGGAGAAGCAGACTCCCTGCCGAGCAGGGAGCCTGATGCGGGACTCGATCCAGGGACTCCAGGATCATGACCTGAGCCGAAGGCAGTCGCTTAACCAACTGAGCCACCCAGGCGCCCCTATTCCTCCCTTCTGAATGTTGAATTTGACAATTGCTTGTCCCAGCTGAGGAGGCGCTACCCTACATTCCTACAAATGCGGAATCGAACAGACACGTTCACGGTGGCATCTCCAAACAGATTTGGGGAGCCTTTGTAGGCTATCAGGAGAACAGATGACCTCTCCTTTGTTGAACTTTGGGGGAGCCTGAGTCACATATTTCTCATCTCTGGCAGTCATCGAGGGTTTCCTGTGAGCACACGGTTTTACCTGGGTGCAGGTTTGGTCCAGGGAAATTTTGTTACTGTAATCCATGAAATGTTTGTGCCACATCTCCCCTAACTTAAGACTTGACTTGCTTGGCAGCTGAGAACAAAGAGAGAATTCATTCTTTCATTGCTTCAACAGCTAGTTATTGAGCATCTACTATGTTTCTGGGAAAGTGCTGACTATATACCCCGGACAGTCCCGGACTTAACCAAATTAAGAGAACTCACTGTACCCTTTTGGATGCATACCCCCCCACACACACCATTGAGCCTCAAAGAATGACCTATCCTTATTGGCCTCATGCAATTCTCAAACACCATAAACCTTCTCTCTCCAACCCTGTCCATTTGTCTGAACCATTTCCATTGTCCATCTGTCCCAGGAAAGCCCCTTCATGGCTATGTCAGGTCCTGCTCAGCCCAAGTCAGTTTCCCCTGAAACTGCTGACCTGGTTTTCTGCATCATCACTCGGAACACACACACAAGCCCTAACTGCTGAGAATGTCAATACCAAGATAACTCCAACACAGTGACTCTTGAAAGACAAGCTGTCTGAGAGTGGATATGGTGGTCAACTAAATGAGTTCTGAACCCAGAGGATCCCGTGCAAATCCTGTTTCAACCACTCGCTATACTTCTCTGCCTAGATTGCTCATCTGTCAAATGGGGATATTAATAGAACCTACTTCCCTGAGGATTTCAGTGAGCTAATACACGGAAAATACTGATAACTAGCACCTAGTATGTAATAAACATTCCTGTGATATATATTAGCTATCATCACTACTTTCTAGATCAGAAAGGAATTGAGTAGTAATTGTGGGCTAGTGACAATGGGGTTGATATTTGGAGGCAGGTGTGGGTGTGAGCAGATCGGAACACGTGGCCCAGCCATTTCGAGAGGAGTCCCCTAATTTGATTGCTTATGCAGGAAATGGACCTTATACAGCAACCACTATTATAGAAATGACGTTTCTTTCATTGTTTTGTTTTTAAGTGGGCTCCATGCCCTGCCCAACGTGGGGCTTGAACTCACCACCCTGAGATCAAGACCGAGCTGAGATCAAGAGTCGGACACTTAACTGACTGAGCCACCCAGGCGTCCCTCTTTCATTGTTTTTGAGGCTTCCCCACCCCCATTCAGAAAGCAAAATATGCTCATTTAAAAAATCAGGGTATAAAGCAGAAAAGCAAGAGGAAGAAATAAAGTGTTTATAATCTCATCCGTCAAAAGACAGACAGTATGAGGACCTTAGGGTACAGCTTTCCAGATAATTTTCAATGCATGTGATAAAATAACACTTTCTGGTGACCAGCTTTTTATTTTTTATTTTTATTTATTTATTTATTTTTTTTAAAGCCAGTTTTTTTTTTTTTTAAGATTTTATTTATTTGAGAGAGAGAGAATGAGTGAGAGAGAGCGCACACATGAGAGAGGGGAGGGTCAGAGGGAGAAGCAGACTCCCTGCTCAGTAGGGAGCCCGATGCGGGACTCGATCCCAGGACTCCAGGATCATGACATGAGCCGAAGGCAGTCGCTTAACCAACTGAGCCACCCAGGCATCCCGGTGACCAGCTTTTTAAAAAGTTAGCATTATGGGGCGCCTGGGTGGCTCAGTTGGTTAAGCGACTGCCTTCAGCTCAGGTCATGATCCCAGGGCCCTGGGATCAAGCCCTGCGTCAGGCTCCCTGCTCGGCGGGAAGCCTGCTTCTCCCTCTCCCACTCCCCCTGCTTGTGTTCCCTCTCTCGCTGTCCCTCTCTCTGTCAAATAAATAAATAAAATCTTTAAAAATATATATAAAAATAAAAAGTTAGCATTATATTATAAATATCATCATTAGTAGGGACACCTGGCTGGCTCGCTCAGTAGAGCAGGCAACTTTTGATCTCTGCGTTGTAAATTCAAGCCCCACGTTGGGTGTAGAGATTATTTAAAAATAAAATCTTAAAAAATACCATCATTAGTTACTATATAGGAAACCACCTGCATGATGGACACATACCTTGTTTTCTCCTTTTAGCTATTGCAAACACCATGAAGATAGACATCTTCTTAGCACACAAAGATGTGCTCCCATCTTGGCACATCAACCTTAATCATTACCTTAGGAGACATTTCTCCAGCATTATTAGCTTATTTATTCCTGGCTTATTTAGGTTGCATTGTTATTAGCTTATTGGCTTATTTAGGTTGCATTGTTGGCTGGTTGTCTTATTTTTGTCTGAGACTTTTAATGAAATACTAAAAAGTTTAACTTCTGTGTCAAATTTTAATTAAATACCGAAATACAAATACAAAGCGTGAAAAAGATTCATGGCAGGGATTGCCCTTGCCTGGTAAAGCGGTGAAAGCACTTTGTGAACCCAGACTTCCTGCTGGGCCTGGGAAGTCTGGAGGCAGCAGGCCGTAGGGGAAGGGAGGGCGGGCGGGCTCTGCAGTCAACACATGGACTTCAATTCCTGGCTCAAGTACCTACTTGCAGTTGTATGACCTTGGGCTCATTTTTAACCTTGTTGAACCTTAGTTTCTTCATATGAAACATCCCTTTTTATGACTTGGCCCATGCTTGTCTCTCCTATCTCATCTCTGTCTCTCACGGCTCTCAGAGAACCCTCTGCCCCCAGCTGCAAGATCCAGTCAGACAGAGCTACTCCCCGGGCCTTTCCCTGTGTTTCTCCCTTGGTCTGGCCCAACCTTCAAACTCTAGTCCAGCTCCCTCCCTGTAGCTCAGTAATTAGTACTGATCATTAGGGCTTAAGATAGACATGATCTCCCTTAAGGAAAGCTTTCAGTCTGGGTTAGTTCCTGCTGTCATTTGCACATGTTACACTGCGGTGTACATTTCTGGTTCTTCCACGAGTCTTGGAGGTCAGGCACTATTTCTTATTTTTCTCTGCATCCTCAGTAGCCAACACGGTGCGTGGACGGCAGGGAAGGCTCCCCAGAACTTGTCAACTGACTGATGAATGAACGAAGTCGTGTAATCATACCTATTCACCACACTTATTAACTCACAATTGAATGACATAATGGAAGTGGAAATTCCCGGAACACAGGTCAGGAAATGGTATCTCAGAGCACTGAAGGCAGTTGACAATATCTTTGGGACGGATCTCTTGCAATCACTTAAAATGTTCTGGTGCAAAATTCTGGAGAACGTTTGTCTTTGCTGAAGTCTGTCGAAAGGTGAATTTCGTCATCATAGAACGAATCGCAGAGGACAAAGGACCTTTTGTTTAAGACAGCTAAGCCCTGCGATTAGTGGTGAGGCGCCATGCCTAAATGCTTCCAGGGCCTGGGGTCAGCTCACCCAGACAGACCTCCCCTCTCTGGCCCCACACCTTGGACCCAGAAGAGAAGGAGGAAGTGGGTAAAGCAGAAGAGAGGGAATAGAGCAAAGGGGGCTGGGATAAGGTTCTGTGGGGGTAACTAATTGCAGCTTCTGTGGAGCAGCTGTGTTTAGAACAGACAAGTTCTACATCAGAGAGTTCCACAGCCCCCAGAGAAGTGCCCCCCTGAATGCCTGTCACTTTCCATTCTTCCTGAGCTTTGCAGATCTTCCCTGCGGTGCCTCGGTGCCTCTCCTGGGCACTTCATTGGCCAATCCCCCACTACCTCCTGAGGTGCAAATGATCTGTTAAGGGTGGATCTCTCCGCGGTAGAACCGGTCTCACCAAATGTTCTTCCAGTTCTGATGGTCTGGCACAAAAGTGCTTCGTGGCACCTGGTCTCACAAAGGCCAGCACTGCTCTCAGCAGCTGGGATGGCAGGCCCCCGGGTCCTTTTAGGAAATTGCTGGCTCAGTCGGGCCACCTCCCCGGTGATTCTGCCCCTCAGGCCATCCCCTTTTGATCCCCAGACGGCGATGGCTCAGTTTGAAGAATTTCTCGCGCTCGCTCGCTCCAGGGTGCAATTGACAACGGCCTTGTCTTAAAGCGTCAGTGGGGACTGAGCTCTTATTCGTGTAATGGGTTCCTATTTGTGACAGGCCCATGATGCAACTGCGGGGTAAAGGCATTTGAAAGAAAGAGAGAAAATCCTATAGAATTCAGGGGAATCTTGCCCTTGAGCCAGTTGCACTCAGAGGAGGGCTTTAGCTGGGGGGTGGGGGGGGCGAGGGGCGCTGGGGGGGCAGACAGTGGGCCGGGGCCCTGGCCTGATGAAGGGTAAAGGGGTGGCAAAGCCCCAACTCACTGAAACTCTTTGCAGAGATTCCCACGAGTGCAGACTTGAACGAACACCTAACCACCACCCACCCAGCTCCAGAGACAGTTCCCTGTTCCCACCCCCAGGGCCTCCAATGTTCTGGAGTTCAGGTTCCCTCCTCCTTTCAGCTGCAGGGATGGGGGGAGAGGGGCAGGGGAGCTGCGGGGGTGGGAAGGCTTGAGTCCGGGCCTCTCCTCTGAGATGGAGCATCCGGAGGGCAGGCTGGCAGCCAGGTGACAGCAGAAGGTCCAGGACCCCTAAAGGAGTGGGCCGGGCAGCACCTAAACCACACTTGGCCTGCTGCTCAGCCTGGCCCCGGGCCAGACAAAGCACAAGCACTTTCTTTTTCAGTTCAATTTATTCTCTAAACCAACAAACCTTAGGCTATGAGGGGCAAAGCAAACTCAGTAGTTTAAACAAAGGCATTCATCAGGCAGCTGGGACCCCCTGCAATGACAAATAAATCCCTGGCAAAGAAACGGCCTCCATTGGCTAGACTGGGATGCTACGACGATTGCAGGATGCTTTTTCGGACGTGGTTTAGAAGCTCCTTCTCAGAGTTCTTTGCACAGGCAGGGGGTGGTATGGGTTGAGATGGGCTGTCTGTCATCCGACGCTGATGGAGCACCTAGCGTGGGGCAGGCTGCTCGGAACTAGAGGGTACATCATGAGGTTCTGGAAAACCAGGAAGCTTCACGACATATACAGCAACCCCACTTAAGCCATAATCCACACATACAGCGACCCCACTTGAGCCGTAAACCTGCCACCTAAAGAAAGAATGACCAGCCAAGGTTTACAAGCTACACAAAGTAGGGCTTGAACCCCGGCTCACCCATTAACTTAAATAGCACTGTGACCTTGGGTAAGTTGACTTCTCTACACCTCACTTTACATGCTTGTAAATTCGAGATTTTTACTATTTTTATAGTAATAGTCCAGGCCTCATCCTCCTTCCAGGCCTTGCTGCTGCTTGGACATAAATATCAGGACATGTGTTCACCACCTAAATTTGGAGACAGATTCCATAAGGCATCGGTGTGGCAAACGCTTTTGTACCACTTACTGGTGCTGTTCTAAGTGTTTTATGTATATTAACTCATCCAACCTTTGTAGCAATTCTATGGAGGGGCTACTAATGTTCTCCTCCTTTTACAGCTGAAAAAAACCCACTGCACAGAGAGCTTATGTAACTATCCTAGACAGGGCTACTTCTTTGATTTGTGTGAAAATTACACGCAATAGTCCAAGTAAAATACACCTATAACATCGGCTGTCGATAAATCTGATCTGTGGTTATTAGTCAGTGGTACTGTTATCATTATTATTAACTACCTTAGCGTTACTATGAGTAGTTACCACAGACTAATTTAAAATGTAGGTAAACACAAAGGGTTTGGCCATTTCCCTCTGCTTCCTTAAAGGAAGCCCAGCATTATTTTAGGTAACTCTAGGCGGTTACGGACCCTCCCAGGATTAATGGCTCCAGGGGGAAGAGCAAAATCCCCCTGCCTCCCCCCGCCCCCCCCCCCCCGCCCCGGGGGCTGCTGACTAAGCAAAGGGCAAACCGCTAGAAAGGCAGGATAAATTAACCCCAGGAAGCCCCAGAGGAAGCAGACCTGGGGAAAGAGCTCTTTGCCTGGAGGTGGGCTACAAAATCAGGGTTGATCCAAAGAAACTCCAAGTTAAGGGTGAAAGATGATTTGCCAAGTGTAGAAGTAAAGAGGTCTGTAAGCAAGGGGGAAGGGAATTAACATGCTTTGACTACCTACTTTGGGTCAGGAATCTGGTCATTTCATTCATCTTCACTGCGACTTCATGAGGTAGGTGCTATGATTATCCCGATTTTAGTGATAAGGGGCACAGGCTCAGAGAGCTAAGGGGGTTCACCTGAGGTTCCCCTGCTTAAGACTGCCAGGGCTGGGACCAGAACTCTCTCCATAACCCCATCGATAAATCCAAACAGAACTCGTTATTGCCCACCGTAAACGTGCTCCTTTCATTCTGTTCTCTGTCTTGATGAATGGGGGCCACCACCCAACCGGTCACCTAAGGCAGGAATTTGAGGGTCATCTGGAAGCCTTCTCACTCATCTTCCATATCCAGACCAGCATCAATTGCTTCTAGAACGTCTACCTCATTGGCATCTCTGTATCCATCCTTCCTGTCTCCACCATTCCCTATCAGGCTGGAATACTGATAGTGGGGAGCATGAGTTTGGAGAGAGGCTGACTATCTAACAATGGCACCACTGAACTTGAAACTATCATCCAGACTCTGCCTGGCACCTCCAGCACGTAGAGAGTGAGCACAATTGGGGGGAAGGGCAGAGGGAGAGGGGGAGAGAGAAGCAGACTCCCCACTAAGCAGGCAGCCCAACATAGGGCTGGATCCCAGGACCCTGAGATCATGACCTGAGCCGAAGGCAGACGCTTAACCGACTGAGCCACCCAGGTGCCCCCCCAATCCAAGTTTTTTGAGGTGACAGAACTCAGTCTCAGGCCAAGTGGCTTGCCCAAGGCCACACAGCTTATAAGTGGCAGAGTCCAATTTACCCTGCTTTATGAGATTCCAAATGCACATTATATCATTTATATGACGCCTCACAACAACTCAGGGAGCTAAAGGGTTAAGTGACTGGCAAGATTTACACAGCTAAAACGATGCAGTTTTTGTAGCCCTAAATCCAGGTACATTCTACTTATACCTGAATAATTCTATCTCATTGGAGTTTGAGAACCTTTGCCTTATGAAGGAGTGGATCTCTATTTCACTGTTGACAGAGGTACAAAAGATCCCTCATCATTATAAATTGAAAAACCAGCTCCTAGACAAACATCCC